GGGAGGCGGCGGGGAAGGGCGGATCCGGCGGCGGGGAGTGTGGCGCAGGGGCGGGACGGTCGCGGCATCGAGGGGAGGCGGGGGGCCGGCCGGATTGGCGGCGGGCGACGGCCGACGGCTAGGGAGGGAGGAAGCGGGAGGTTGGGGACGGAAAACTTCCCTCCCGCGAGACGGGGAAAGGGAGTGCGGGCTGGGGTCGCGCGCCCCCCTCCAACCCTTACTTCTACGGTTCGAAATTGGGTTTGAGGGTTGGACCCTTACATTTTTTTGAGGGTTTGAGGGTTTAGGGGTTCTAGTCTTTGCGTTTTTTTTTGTTGCACCCCGCAAAAAAGTGGTTATTTTTGAGGGTTTGAAGGTTTAGGGGTACTACTAGTAATGCTCTGAGCCACCTCGTCATGCAGGGTGGTGGTGTATGGCGTAAGACTAGCTACACTGAAGAGATACATTAGTAAGAGCATTACTAATAGAGCCCTCAAACCCTCAAACCCCTAAAAATAACTGCTTTTTTTACAGTTTTCGTCGAAAAAAAATCATAGATTAGAACCCCTTAACTCTCAAACCCTCAAAAAAATTTAAAGGTCCAACCCTCAAACCCTCTCTCAATCCTCAAAAGTAAGCGTTGGGAAGCAAAACCTACCCCAACCCTTATTTGGCAGTTATCCTCGCGCGGGAGGGAAAAATCCTCCCAACTCCCGCGCCCACACCCGCGACCGTCGCTGCTAGTCGCCCCCGTCGCCGGCAGCGGCCCCGTCGACCTCCCGCGCGCAACGACAACGTCGTTCATGGAGAATATTCCGTTATAAGGGTTGGGTTTGAGGGTTCTAATCTTTGCCCATGTTTTTCAACCCGTAAAAATGCACAAAAAGATCATTTTTGGACCCTTAAAACGCTAGTGAGGGTTTGAGAGTTTGAGGGTTAACATACACATATCTCTAGACGATGTTACTACCTTCATAGTGGGTAGTAACTTAAGTGTAGTAACATGCAAAGATTCATTTATTAGGTTATAGACTCATATTGCATTGGGACGTGTGATGTTACAGTAACTAGCTAAGTTACTACAACTATCTCTCTCCTCATTAACTCATTGCCACATAAGCAAATTTGCTGAGTTGGACTCGATGTTACTGCTGAAGTTACTACCACTGTGGCTAGTCTAAGGTATCAGCCCGCCATAAATACCAAACATACAACTAAACGAGCTCGAGCCCGGTCCTTGTCATGAAAGCCCGCCTACGTTCGTTGTAGATAGGGACACGCGCCCCATGACACGTCCAACACAGTCGCGCTCAAAGTGCCTCGTCAGCACAACTTCGCGCTCAACATACCGTGGATAGCTATGGGGCCTATACTAGGCTAGTCATAGTAGGGAATAACTTAGACTAATAACATGTACTCCCTCCGTTCGGAATTACTTGTTTCGAAAATAGATGTATCTATAACTAAAATATGTCTAGATACATCCATTCTTACGACAAGTAATTCCGAATGGAGGGAGTATATATGTTACTAGTCCATGTTACTACCTCTATAGTGGGTAGTGCCATAAATGTGATAACATATAGGGCTTCATTTATTAGTTTGTAGACTCATTTTACATCGGGAACCGTTATGTGATGGTAACATATTATGTTACTCCATTTGCATCTCTCCTCATTAATTAATTACCACCTCATATTTCTTGCTTATGTGACATGCATGTTACTGCTTATGTTACTCCCACTATGAGCAGCCTTAAACAACAACATCATGTGTTCGGCTTAACCAAACCATGGTAGTATCATCACGTCCTCGGACAGCAACGGGTATGACTCCGGACTCATCCAGCATGAAGCTGTGACTGTTGAGTATATTGATTATTAGGAAAGATGAGATGGACTATGATAGAGGCGAAGGTGTCCCGATGTTTCGATGAGATAGATATCGTTTTCTGTGGGAGTCGACTTTGACGATCTGACTACGAATGTGCGAAAACGTCGCGCCTTAGCAATCGCTAAACCAACTTTCGAGGGTTATTGACCATGCCGGAGCACGATCAACCTGACCACGAGGGTCTATATCCTGCGAGCAAACGAAGAACAGTCAAAAAAACTGAGATTGCAATCTGGATATTGCGAATTAAAGAGGAAAATTTTATTAATGAAGGTGGGGTTCTGTGACGTCTTGGTCTGGTCGTTGGACACAAACGAAGTACGCGAAGTTGCAGCTATGGCGAACTTTTAATCTAAACAAAACCCAAAGTCTAAACGACGCCCTAAGGGCTGTATATATGGAGGAAGAGGGGGGAATTTCGTGGCCCTTGGAGGAGGGGTCCGAAACCAACCCTAACTCTTGTTTCCCCACACATACAGACTCTAAAAACAGCCTATACTTAAGTATTTCGAAAATACATGGGCCTGGCCCAATAATAAGGTGATGCAGCACCTAGAATAGCCTCTGGACGAAATTTGTGAAGTGGCATCTTGTATATTTCGTCCAAGGCTTCATGCACTCCTTATGGTGGCTTCAAAGTCCTGAAATCATCACTTGTAACTCCGTTCTTGATCCCCTTGCACATGCCATCATCTTCATGCTTGAAGTTGCTCCAAGGTTCATCTTTCTTATCCAAGCTAGGCCCTTCATTTGAAAGCAAAACAAATGTATCCAATTTAGGCAGCATCATATTCTCATGAACATTAGAATCGTTACCAAGAAACAAAAGTACCTGATAATTCAATTGGCGTGCGCGAGCTCAAGTAATTGGTCCAGTATGTATAGCAGTAGGGGCTGTGGGTGTAACAATGGTATTGATGTCCTCATCATCCTCCCCTTCTTGAAATGAAGTCGTCCTCGACGAAAGCTCATCTTCCTCACCCAAATAAGGCTTCAAATCTACAATGTTAAAAGTGGGACTAACCTCAAAATCTGCAGGCAGGTCAAGTTTATATGCATTATCATTTATTTTCTCTAACACCTTAAAAGGACCATCAGCATGTGGCATTAGTTTTGATTTGCGCAAATTAGGAAACCTATCCTTACGCAAATGTAACCAAACAAGATCTCCAGGTGCAAACACAACATGTTTTCTACCCTTATCTCTAGCAAGTTTATATTTAGCATTCATACGCTCAATGTTTTCCTTAGTTAACTCATGCAATTTTAAAATCAATTCAACACGTTCTTTAACATCAAAATTAACCTTCTCCGAAGAT